TTTTAATCCAAAAAGCGGTCCAGCATCCTCTGGATGTTTTGAAAGGCATCTCTGCCGAGGTAGTCCACCTGTCCCATCTCCCACAGCCTGCGGTGGTCCAGCGGCTCGGTGTGGGCAGGAGTCTGCCACGACAAAGTGGGAAATAAACATCACATCATTATATAGATGCTTTTAACAGAAGTCTCGTTTTGAATCCTTACACAAAGATAACACAGTGTGAACACAAAGACAACACAGTGTGAACACAAAGACAACACAGTGTGAACACAGAGTCCGTGTGAAGAGCAGCAGGAGGATCACAGGAGCTAAAAAGAACAAACCACCGCTCCATGAATCACGTTCTGGCAGCACAAGTGGAGCTTTCACGAGCCGTCTGCTGCTCTGTGCCACACGTTTAAGTGAACACAGTCAAAGGACGTTTCAGCCAGTGTAGCAGCTCGACTTCACTCTGAACAGACTCAACTTACAACAAACATCGATCTGAAATATTGTAAGTAAACAAAATCAAAATGATAGCTGCACCAGCGTGTGCCTGCATGCCGCTGGCTCAGACACTCCTCACTGACACCTTTAGTCTGTTGCTCTGAGCCTGCAGAACGTGCTAATATTTCCACGTCTGAGGGGCCGTCACAACTAGTCTAATGACATAATTACGGTTTCATTTTCAATTCTGTTGAAAGTAAAATCTGTAGATTATTACAACAAACTGTTTCACAGAACATACGTTTGGCAGCTGTAAATTCATACTTCTGTGGTTTGAAGGACTACATACGGGATCAGCAGCCGTGTCTGCAGGAACGTCGCTGCTTTCAGAGCCTTCGGCCCCCAAAGGTGGATCCTCAGCTTCTGGCTCCTCAGATGATCTCGACTCCTCCTCCAACTGTGTGTCATCTGTGTGGGAACGCTGCAGACGCAGGAATCATTTTACCAAACAGCAAACATGATCGTGTGTGCCGCACGCTGTAAAAGCTTCTACATCACCTGATCGTGGGGATAACTCTGCTGATGCATGTTCATAGCTGAGATCAGACTGGAGCGAATGTTCAAACTAATCGTACAAGCTCGTATCAACTAGAGATGGCACGATACCACTTTTTTATGTCCGATACCGATATCATAAATTTGGATATCTGCTGATACCGATATGAATCTGATATAGTGTTTTTAATCAATAAAACTGTTTTTTAAATATCTTGCTGCATTTTGTATAAGTTCATACTCAAGTTTAAATAAATAACAACACTAAAGCTGTTCTGTTATACCTGTATGTAAAAAATACACTGCGCCCAAAATATTTCATAGTTCAGCAAAACTGATCAATCTAATAAACTTAAACCTGCTCCATCCTCCCTATTCTGGTGTTTTAAAGAGTACTTAGCAGAAATATCAAGCAACCTGACTAATAGGGTTGCAAACTCCCAGCAAAAAAA